ATTTATAAAATTCAACTTTACCTTCCACATCTAGATGCTTGGTGCATTTTCAAACAAGACAACACGTAATACGACATTGTAGAACTTATTTTTGGAAGGAGAGATAATGTCACAAATATACATATTTACTCCAATGATTACCTATATGATTAAATAAAAATAAGTATAATTAGATTAATTTCATAATATCTTCTAGAAAAGCTTTTTAGAAGCTCTATAGATGTGGTTTTGACTTTACACATGTTTATAATTGATTGATATGTTAGAAATTTGATCAATAAATTAATCATATGTGACACATATTGATAGCTCTTGGAACAAGCTCACTATGTGGCACACATATAAAAAACTTGTCTTGCAAGTTAAAACATGTGTCTTACAAAGTCAACACATATTGGAGGTCCTATGGAACAATGTCATATAACTCCTAATTAGATAATATATATAGGGGCAAGAATAAAGTTTTCTTTATTCTTATCAATATCTTTTTTATTCTTAATATAGTTTTAAGAATCCATACTCTTCTTGTCTTTGACAATAGCCATCTTAATATTAATATTAAATTACTTTTAGAATAAATATTCATTCTTTTTAAGTTATATAAGAAAGTTCTAAGGTTCTCCTTATTTTGATTTATGTCCTTGAAAAAAGGTATTGACAAGAATGAAGAAGGCTTCATTCTTGACTTCATATATATTATCTAACTAAAAATTACATAGTGATATTATGTAGGATATCTAATACTTGTTTAACTTGCAAGATAAGTTTTCTACATATGTGCCACATGACAAACATATATTACAAGATGCCAATATGTGCAATATGTGGCCAATTTTTTGATCAAGTTTCTAATCTCTCAATCAACTATAAAGTCAAATTTGCATCTATGAAGCTTCTAAAAAGCTAATATATAAGATATTATCAAATATACTTTTATTTACATCAACCTAACACTTTTTATTTAAGTAATTATGTGTGTCCATGACAAAGGAATATTTGACTTTTCTTTTGAGGATTATATTATGTCCATCATTTGTAGAGATTTTGTTCAAATTATAGCTAAGACAATTTTTGATAAAGATAGGATTTGAAATGTCTATTAAAAAATCTCAATGAAAATTACTCAAGAAAATATGAATAGATCTTAGAACCCTTATATTTATACATGGACAATTGTATGTTGTCCTTTTATAATGCAGTTCTTTGAATATGATCAAGATCCTATGTCTTAAAAACAATGAAGACAAAGACACCACTATAAATACAATTTAACTTAAAATTCTTTTAATTTAGCTATTTAAGCTTTTATAGAGAATAAAAATTATGTTTTTCAATTACATTAAAGAAACATAAATGATTCCGTTGTTGTGTATATACTCTTTTCTTTCTTTCTTTCTTTCTTTCTTGGTCAACATTTCTTTTGGAGTGGTCAATTTTTGACTTAACAATCACATCTTAAACTTTTACAACTTTTTTGTCTATATATATATATATATTCATAAACAAATGTTTGTTTAAAACCTATTACAACTGAGAGATGAATGTTAAAAAAACATAGGTGGACCCACACATCTATCCACTCAACCAGGATGGATGGGTGACGTTCAAGGTCTGTGCATTCATTCTCACCTTGACAGCGTCCCCCCTGTGTCCGTGTTTCCCAAGACCGCGTCCCCCCCCCCATGTCCCCAGAGACCCTATCATTGGGAACGTGGACACGTGTCAGGTCAGTCCCATGTGGTAATATCGGTGGACGTCTTTAACGGCCACAGCTGGTCTTGGTCAAAGTCCTTGGTCTCGACACCACATGTGTATACTCAACACTTTAAAGTTCTCTTTCTGATAGAGCTTTTTACTTTTCTCTTCTGTTTTGAATGGTGTGTGCATGAATGATATTATTTAAGAGCTGCATGCCGTCCAATCCAATCATAGTACTTTCTGGGCAACGAAATAGTACTTAAAGTATTTTTATTCACCTCATTCTGACTAGCCGCAAATTGTAATGATTCCTATTATTGCTTGAGGTCTGATTTATTAATTTCTGATTCGGTTTTTTTTATTTTTTATTTTTTAGGGCTAAATTTTTACTTGAAGTCATGTGGAATTTCATAAAAAAAGGTTTAATTTATTTGGTGTTACTTTTTTTTCTTTTCTTTTTTTAGTGTTTTAAATAGAGTTAATGCAAAGTGCAACAATCATGTGGTCGTGTAACAAGTGTCGGATTTAGAACACGGTGGAAAGGTGCACTTTCTTATTATTTTTAATCAATTACAATTTTTGAACAGATTAAGAAATACTATAAAAATCAATGAATTATTCATATTTTTCTTTCAAAATATCATTTAAATGTTGTTTTATGAAATTTGAAATTGTTTTTATCACTGAAGTTAAGTTATTTTTATGATATAAAATAAAGTCGATTTCAAAGTTTTAGATCTTTTGTATTATGAAAAATTGGAAAGTAGTTAGATAAAGTGAAACAAAGGTTTTATTTTTCATGTCTAAGTTATTATTCGTATTCAACTTTTTACAATGTGTCCAAAACTTATTATTTGGCTACGATTAAGTTTTTTCACAAAATAATTTACTCCCATGCAAATGAGAGAGATCAGGTGTCTGTTCCTGAATATTTCATTACACACAACTAGCCTTCTATTAATGAACCACATGTACTAAATCTCCGCCCTCAATCCCATTTCATTTACCTGCCCTGGACAAAGCCGTACCCACGTCAGCGCCCTCGATTTGCCGTCATCGACGGCTGCAAAGCGCCTAGTAATATTCCCCTGCACTCCAGGTCACAGCTGGAAATTCACTCTAAACCCGTGGGAGTCCCATTACCGCTGCCGTTGGATTGTGCATCGACAAGCGGAGATTGGTCGGGAGCTTTCCATGAGGTTTCGTCTGTAGCAAGCATGTTGAAAGACGTTGCTTAGCGGCGAGTTTGCATGTCGGCGTGACCCGACGTCGTGTTTCGATCGGCTTAGATTGTTAGGATGTGGGCCTTGCCGGCTTCGTAGCAGCTACTTGTAGGGGTTAAGCACATCCACATGAGCATTTTCCGGTGTGGTATAGTGTGGTGCAGGTAGTGCCGTCGGTGGAAAGGGCAGTTTGATGTAGCGTTTTGATCTTCTGGTATTTTCGATGCTTTGGATAGTCTGTCGCAGTCGTGTCACTTGCGTTGCAGCGTCAGCATGGGTTTGAGTTGCGTTGGCGAGGATTGCGTCCTTGCAGATTCCACGGAAAGAACGCTGCAGCAATTTTGAGTTGGTTGATATTTTTGTAATTGAATCATGTGAGTTCAGAGTTTGGGTGAGCTTTCATGGCTAGGATATGTGCTCTCGGGTTGATTTTGGGAAGCGAGCGTAGGGATTGGCGTTTAAAGTGGAGAATCGATTCCGTGAGTTGAAATATTTGTTTTCATGGATAGTTTTCTGCTGAGTGGAGAATCGTCGTCGCAGGTTTAAGACATGTCTTGGAAGGCTTTTTAACATATTTTTATTGTGTGGAGGAGAAAGCTCGCTCGCTTAATAGGTTGATTTGTTGGATTTCTAATAGCTTAGAATGGAGAAGATGACGAAGGGGGAGGATGAGAGCTGGTTTAGGACTACACACAAGGACACAGGCTCGACGGCTCATCGGGATACTATGTCTGTGCGAGTGTCTAACTCTGCGCAGAGTGCATCCAAGCGACCTTTTTTTGTCGCAAGAAGGGAGTCAATCAGCGATGGAGAAGATAATTCTGGTATATGTTGGTTTCCTCGAGGGCGTAGTCGGGCAGGGGAATCCTTGTCGACAGTCAACGTGCATCAATTTGAAGAGAAACGAGGTGAAAGCCGGTCAAAATCAACAGCAGGAAGTGATCGGGTTTTTTGCTGTTGTGGGCCGCGCTGGGGTCGCAAGTACACCGTTGAGGTTTGCGCCACAGATTCTAGCGACGATGGATCACCTGGCAACGAGTCAGTGTTGAGAACGAAAGGGAGGTGGGAGATTGACATGAATGAAGAGTATTACAAGCCACCCGTGTGGAAACAGATCATTCGAAAAGTGAAGGCCCAAGTGAGGCAGGTAAATTCTACTCCTCCTGGGGCGTGGGAGAATTACGACTCGCAGAGCTATGAAAAGAATTTTGACAACGGGACATGGCGTGATTCATCGCGAAACAATTATGACGCGGATGATAGCGATGAGAAGCTTGGGTTAAATGAGAGAGCAAGACACACAGCTTTATTGCAGAAATTCCATTCTAACAGAGTACAGGAAGTTCCCGGTGATGTTCACTGGAACAGTGCTTCTCTGTCGCCGTTACCCGTGAGATCGTTGCCCAAAGAGAAGATAGATAAATCCAAACAAGATTTTGTGCCAATCTGGCAGAGAAGGGCAGCCAGCCCTATCACGCTTGATCTTAAGCAACGGACAAGTCTGCGAAGCTCGTAACGAGCATCACGCCGGCATTCCATTCCCTACATCGGAACTCACCTTAGGTTACACGCGAACCACACCAACTCCGGCTGGGCTTCTGGAAGTTTTGGTGCGGATTGGTCGAAATTCTCTAGCATCTTTGAATGATCCACCAATTTGGACACTCTTTCGACAACATGCGTGATCATCTGATCCGAATTGCGCATTTGGAGATAAACAAACACGAGGACTGCAACACCTTAGTGCATACATCGATTTTTACGACTAAAGCGCATGCATCACGCGTTGGATTGCTTAATTAATATTGATACACCCATGCAGGATTTCGCAAGGGTTTGAGCTTTCTAGTGTAGCGATGATCGTACGTAATGCAGCACTTAGAGATTCTTAGACCTCGCGCTTTATGATATATTTTTCGTTTTTTTTTTTTCGTTTATTTTGTGTATTGTTGTTGTTGCTGCATGTGTTTTTGTGTGTCAGCATCGTTCGCTAGAGGTGAAAACTTGTTAGGTGATTGATTCAATCGAATTTTCTCGTCCATGTAAAGAACAAGGCCATTAGTTTTTTTCCATTTTGAGTGAAAACTGGTGTGGCCAGCGCCTAACTTTTTCCTGTTGCAATCCATGTTATATCATTCTGTCTTTTTGATATTTCAATATATAAGCCTGTTAACTATGATATTTGGGGTCAAGCTAAAAGGTTCTACATGTGTTAGCTCACTGTAGTTACCCATCAAATTGTTGACAACGTGCTGCTTGCTGTGCACATACATTTCAAATACACCCTACAATTCGCGAGGCTAGAGTTTAGATCATTTTTTGAAACGATGGAAACGGTAGAGTTCTGGGGTTAGGAATACCCTGCCAATCAAGTTGCAGGAACAAAACCAACGATTGTACAGCGAAATGCGTAGAGATAATTAACTTGTGCGTTGCAGCTAGAGAGCATTCAGTACTTGTAATCCTTGACGAAGAGGTTTCCAGAGTCACCGCCGGAGTCACCCTTGTACTTCCCCAAGACAGCCTCCGAATTTGCTTTAGCGCGGTTGTAGAGCACTCTCTGAGCAGCCACCCAGTTTTTCTTTTCGCCACCCCAAGTCTTGAGCACGCTGGATTGCAACGCGCGCCCATAGCTGAAGCTCAGGGTCCATGGTTTCAAGGTTTGCAACGCGTTCATGGAGTTCAAGTTGACGGTGGCTTCTTCCTCGCTCTGGCCTCCGCTGAGGAACATGACGGCAGGGACTGCAGGGGGCACCGTTCTCTGCAACGCGCGCACGGTGAATTTCGCGATGATGTCGCAACTGACCTTCGGCGCCTCAGAGCCTGGGGTAACCATGTTAGGTTTCAGCAATGTCCCCTCCAACAAGACGTGCTGATCGTTCAAGGCTTTGTAACATGCGGCCAGGACGCGCTCCGTTACTTCGGCACATTTTCGGATGTCATGGGTGCCATCGGAGAGAACCTCTGGCTCGACGATGGGCACCAGACCATTCTCTTGGCACAGGATGGCATACCGGGCCAGTCCTTGCGCATTTTGTTGGATGCCAAGCTCTGAAGGTTCTGTGTGGCCAATCTTCAACACCGCTCGCCACTTAGCAAATCTGGCTCCCGCTTCGTAGTACTTCTTGCATCGGGCGCCGAGGCCATCGTGCCCTTGGGTTGTGGTCTCGCCATTGGTTCCGGCGAGCGGGACGACTCCTGTGTCCACTTTGATGCCTGTCATGACGCCCATTTCTTCCAGGAGCTTCACAAATGGCTTCCCGGCGAGAGTCTTTTGGTACAATGTCTCTTCATACATGATCACCCCACTCAAGAACTGGTGTATGCCAGGAGCCGTGAAGAGCATCTCTCGGAGTGCTTGGCGGTTGGCCTCTGTGTTCTCGACGTTGATGCTTTGCAACCTAGTGCCGATTGTTGAAGTGGATTCATCTGCGGCAAGAATGCCCTTCCCAGGTGTGCCGATAAACTTGGCGGTTCTGATGAGCTCATCTGCAATGGAAGTCACACATTCCGTGAGTTTGTCAAATTCCATGGCCTTTCAATTTCGTATGCCTTTCTTGGAGTCTATTTCCTCATCAAGTAATGTATGGATCATTCAAATGTCACAACGTCAGTATGAGAAATTTGTTGAAGTCTATTAAGACAATAACTGTTTCAATCAGGCTAAAGCAGCTTCCAAATTTTAAGCGATGTGGGTCAACTAGATGGCGCGATGTCTCTTGTCTTCTTTCGCAAGGTATTCGATGCGAATCATAATTTTTGGAAGACAAAAATCATGAAAACCCTAAATTTTCATTCCAAATTTTCAGCATACTGGCAAACGAATGCCAAGAATCGAATCAAAACGTGAATCTTGTTCATGTATTTTATCATAAATTTTGGGTGGATTTTTTAATCAAGTCGAAACGATTGTTAAGACTCGGGAAATGACAACAATTTGAATCCGCGAAAGAAGCGTTGCGCTCAAAACGCGAAAACCAAGTGATGTTGAGGATTAATCTTGCCTTGGAAGGACAATAATTGCCAACAGGATTAAGGCTCTACTTGACATCTAATTCCAAGTTCAAATTTCTGGGAGCATCAATAAGGACGTTTTATGTCGAATGAGTTTAGAGGGGCACACACTGTATGTGGATCATCTTCCACTATGTCTCTGGATAGCAGCTACGTGTTGAAGATGAAAGGAAGCGACATACCTACTCATCTGATGCTCATGATAGTTCAAGACTGAAGCAAAGTAGTCAAGGAAATAGGCAAGAGATTCAACGTTTAGACCCAACCGCATTTCCAGCAAGCGTGTTTTTGATGAGCGCCTTTGCTTTGTGGATTGCTCGCTACACCCAGACACACAAAAAAGACTAAAATGAAAATTCTGAATCGATGGACTCTTGAATACTTCAACAAACAATAGTTGCAACTTAGGTTCTGTACATTTAAACGAAGAGACGATAACTCAACTTTACAGTTGCACACTCAATCATTCTGCACTTTACTGATAGCATTAAACAAAATAAGGGAGATCCATTCTGTAGACTTCTGCACAATTCCTGGAAAAAATATCCGTTGACGGCTGCCCGGTCTACACACCCGATTTCATACGTTCTATGCAGATGTATGCACTTCAATTTCGCACTGGTGCAATTCAGAGTTTATGAAGCATGTGGATCAAATACCTGCATATTTGCCCCAGTAGGCTGACATTGTCGATCCTTGCTCCCACTGTTCCTTGATCAAACTTAACAAGAAGGAGACTGGATCAAGCAACCTGATCTTGCGATAAGTAGGTAGCAACAATGTCGAAGAGCCCAGAACCGCTGCTATTAGTGTGACTTAACGATCAGGAGAATGTAGTGGTTGCCCTGGTGCGCGACCAAAGGGCGTGACCCTGATCTAGTCGACTCCGCTCTTGAGAGTCACATATCATCTCACAACCTTTCATATCAAAAACACATTTCATATTCCACCGCCATTGAATTCGGGAATCCCGTCCTAAGCGGACTGTGGATTTAACAATACCTCCTCCAAATTGGCATTCGATTTACTTCGCTGCTCAACGGTGGAATTTGTGAATGAGAGTGGATGATGGGGAAGGTGCACGGACGATGACAAATGTGGGAGCGTGACCACACACTCACAGGTCAACGACTCTTCACTTCATGACGTTGTTGAGAGGTTGATTCAGTTCTACACGCCCAGCTTTGAAATTTGTGCGACTGTTCACGCATGTGGATTCCACGACCTATTCTGTGGACGAGAAAAACCTTTCCGAGACCAGGTCTAGATTGGGAGAATCGTAGAAACGGCAGAGATTGACCAGGCTTGCAGGTGTGCTGCAGCGTGTAATTCAGACATGGGTACTACTTCCTCGCACACAGTCACGACCCACTCGCGATCCTGTCAAAGCCTCGTGCGCTGAAGCGTGCCTGGATTCGGCCCTCGAGGCTACTGTACAACTTTAGGGTTTCAAGGCCTCGAAGCATTGATTGATATGGCGTGCGCAGTGTTTGAAATTGCAATCAGTTCATTTAACGTGGGCGGGAGACATTCAAGCAAACTGGTAGTCAATTATAAGGATACGTATTTCTTCTTGAGAAAGGAAATGTATATATATATACTAAGATGAGAACAATTAAGTAGAAGATCCTGGCGGTTATTATTTGCGTCAGTCCCGAGTATAATTCACTCTGGGTAGATTTTGGGTTCGAATCGCAGTGTCGGCAGGATTTACTGTCTGCTAAAAGTGAAATCGGCGTCGAGAAGTCAACTTCGGATTGGTTCTGATACGAAATTTAGGGCCGTTAGTGAGTTATAGGAAACAAAGGGCGATTGTGTGCACTAATATGATTCTGTGGAAATTCGTGTGTGGCATAATGAATGTTTAAAGTTGTGGCGGTTGTTTTCTTTCATACTAGTTTTGATGGTCACGATGGAAACAATTTTAATTACTTTTAGTTATTGACTGTTTTGTTTCATGGCTCACTTTGAATTTTTCGTATTTCAATGTTGAAGGACTTATTAGTGTTTAATATAGTTCTTATGGAGTGTTCTAAGAGTTGGGTATAAATAGTGGATTGGCTAATAATTTGTAGGAGTTGATGAATTTGATATAAAGTAAAATAAAAAGTCTTCTTTGTAAAACTATAATCATGCCTATCATTTTTAATGATCACATTTTTATTTTAAGGTGAAATACTAATAATAGAAATATATGTGCGATTCTTGGTTACACTAATTCCATTATGCTTCAATTACTAAATTTAACATGTTATTTATATATATACCCCAAATGCAGTGAATATATATATATATATATATATATATATATACCCCAAATGCAGTGCATATACATATATATATATATATATATATATATATGTATAGATGTATATATATATATATATATATATATATATATATGTATATATATATATATATATATACATACATATAGATAAATACAAAGACAAGATGGTGTTAACATGGGACTTATGACACAGCACATAAAAATTACATTAAATTAGTTGACTATAAGAACTATCTATTTGCATCCAGTTGTCTCAGAAGTAACATATTTAGTTATCAATTGGTTGCATATAGAACTCTAATTTCCACAAATTGGTTTATTTTTTTTCATAGACATACTTAAAAATTGAGATATAGATATATTAGTCTGATTGTTTCTGAAACTTAAAATTTATAAATACAATATTTTTATTATGTAATTTTTTTTATTCTTATAAATAAATTGTAAAATCTAATAAAAACATATTCATCATTTTATTACTTTTTGGATGATTAAAGTTAAGAGTGGATATATATTAAAGTAAGTAAAGTTATATTAATTTTGGTTGACTGAAATTAATTATATTTTAGATAATTTATTGTTAGAAAATTGGATCCATTTTTTTGCACATGCATTTTGTTAATAGAATTATTTTCTACAATGTTTGTGTATCCAATGGCACAAGCATTCACTCATCTCTCTCTCTATATATATAGTTAGTGTATTTTTTATTTTAAAAAAGTATATAATTTGAATTATTTTTAATATTTTAAAAACCTTCAATAAACCTTTATTTAGAGGTCTAAATATCAAATTATTAATAGCTTGGAACTTATAGTGAATAAATTTTTTAATTTACAAGGTTCTAATTTAATTAATATAATCAATAATCTATTACATATAATTACTTAAAAATATATTTTATTTTATAATTAATACTATTTATCTTTTTTTTTTTCTTTCTTTCTCTCTTTATACAAATATATATATATATATATATATATATATGATATTGGCAAAGATAAGACACATGTATACAACTTAATAGGTTCAAATACATAATAAATAAAATACAAGTACATAATAAAGTGCATAATAAAACTATTTATGTAGTTGTTGTTCTCGTTGTATTCAAGCTTCAATATACCAAAGCAATTGAACTAATAGAGGTGGATTCGAACATGGAGAAAGACTGGTTATATGAATTGGGTCTGTTAGTGTCACAATTGATTGTACTCTGGCTATCTGAAATCAATTATCAAACTACAAAACACTAAGGCTTACTACTTCCGTCTTAATTCAACACATAATCTATTCTACGACTATCAATTCAATAATACTTCCATATTCTTATCCATTCATCTTCCACTTACTCTCTTTGTGGTTTATATATATTCAATTACTGATCTCTAGCTTACTTATTATATTCAGTTTCTCAATTCATCACACAAAATTCAATATCTTTACTTAACACAACACAATTCGATAATCTCAATTCTCAAGGTCACAGATTTTCTCCAAATTGATCAATCCAAAGTCATATTCTACAATATTCTAATTACAATTTCAACAATACTTCTCTCAATCACAATTCTTCATAAGAAAATAATAAAAGCAAAGAAAACAAAGAGGTAGCATCAAGCTTGCCTCAGCTTACAACTATCACAGTCTGCACCCATCTCCCTTTTCTCAACCTCTTTATCCTATCAAAAGATGGGCCGTCGACCAACAGATTTCAAAGGTTATGACCCTTTGAATTTTTAACCATTTGTTCCACTAACAACCTACTGTTACCAACTAAACTACCTACCCATAAGTCTAATTCTCAAGGTTGTCAATAACCAATCAGTAACTTACTACAAAATTTATTTATATATTCTACATAGTCCCACTCCTAATTGTATAGCATCATCGCAAATATTATTTTGCATCAACTTATAAAGACGTAGCAACATTGGTTTTTTCAATCAATGGCGTTGGCTTACCACCTTTTGAATTGGTGACCTTCTCCTCTGCTATATCTTCATCGTCTACCTCGATATTCGAGGATTTTTCATCCAAATTTGTCGTGAGATCTTCATTCAACAAATCCAATTCCTATACCTGAGACTCAAGATGGTAATTTGGTTGTCGTGCTCATCTAACATCTTCTGCCATTCTTCTGTCGGTTTCAAAGGTATCTCCAAAGGTATTATCGCTGAAACTGGCGTATTGGTTTGTACTAAAATATTGGCCTCCTTTTCTAATGCAGCTAGTTTAGTCTGCAACATTACAACCTCTATCTGCAGCCGTTTTTGCCATTCCTTCCACTCGGTCTCCATCCTTGCTTTCTCAGACACCATATTTGCCATCTTCTCCTTTTCTGCCATCCACTTCTCCTTAACCACAAAAGAAAACATGATGCTTGTCAAGAGTCACCTTCCTAATTCTTACTATGGTCCAATCAATTGGGTCGACTCTCCCTTTTGTAACAAAAAATCCGTCCCGAGTTTATGTATAGTAAAGTTTAAGCTGATTGCCATTGATCCATGTCATAAATTTAGTACTCATAAAATCTTCTAATTGCACTGAACCATTTGAAAATCTGTCAATAACTCGATATGGCCCATGCCATCGAATTTGAAATTTTCCTGAAAAATTTTTAAATTGACTATCATAAAGAAATATCAAATCATTTGGCATAAAATTCTTTAGTCTAAGCTTACTATCATAATAAGTCTTCCTTTGTTTTTGTGTAGTTTCTATTATCATTAATATATTGACTCTAATTTCATCTAATTTTTCTAATTCTTCTAAACGGTGCTGTAATGAATCATGATCTTCCAATCTATTATCTATAGCAATTCGTAAACTTTGGACTTCCAATTCAACAGGTAAGATTGCTTTCTGGCCATAAACCAATTGAAAAGGGGTAGCATTAGTAGTAACTTTATATGCAGTACAGTATGTCTATAAAGCTACAAACAACTTAGTGTCCCAATCTGTTTCCACTCTTGAAACTATTTTTGTTAAGATTTTACATAAAATTCTATTAGTCTTTTTTGTTTGTCCATTGGCTCTAGGATGATACGGTATAGTCTTATAATATTTTATCTTATATTTAGCCATAAGTACTTCAATTATACTATTTATAAAATAAATTTCTCAATCACTAACCAATTCTTTTTGACAACCGAACCATATAATAATATTTTCATACAAAAAGATTGCTATTATTCTTGCACTATCAATTTTTGTAGCTACAGCTTCAACCTATTTTGTTACGTAATCCGTTGCTACAAGTATATACCATTTTTGTCCATTTCTCGAGGCTGGTGCAATTGGTCCCATAAAATCAATTCCCCATTTTTCAAAAGGCGCTTGAGCCAGAATTGGTACTAATGGCATTGCTGAAGTTTCAGTAGGTTGACCCGTTCTCTGACATGGATCACAATGACGGATGAATTGGTAGGCATCTGCAAACATTGTTGGCCACCAATAACCAACCTGTAAAGCTTTATGAGCCGTGTTGTCCCCTGCAAAATGTCCACCATAACTATCCAAGTGACAACCTTCTAATATAGTACTCACTTCAATCTGATAAATATAGGATCGCAAAACTCCATCCTTACCTTGTTTATATAAAGCTTCACCAATCATCATATAAGGTGTACATTTTAATATTAAGCATCCTTTAAGCTTTTCATTAAAATTAGGTGGGAAGGTTTGAAATGTCAAGTATTGAATTATTTCACTATACTCCGGAGTAATTACATCTATTGCAAATAGTTTCGCATCAAGTAGTGCATCGTTAATAGGTTCATTATCTAATATATTACATAACTAAGATAAATGGTCCACATTGGAATGTGATTTTCCTGGTCTTACTTGAATAGTAAAGTCAAATTTCTGCAAGGATAAAATCCATCGTGCAATACGACCACTCAATTGAGGCTTATTAATCATATATTTTAAAGCATCATGGTCGACATGGAAAACAAATTTATAACTAAGAAGATAATGTCAAAACTTTTGTATAGAATAAATCATCCCTAATGCTTCTCTTTCGGTTGTTGTATAAGTTCTTTCAGCTGCTACCAATTGATGACTTACATAATAAATAGGGT